TTTTTTTTTCTTTTCTGCCTTTGGCACTTCCGCTTCGTTCGCCCGTGGCTGTCCTCCGCAACGAGAGGGTACCGATAGCGTGAAGGACACGACAAGGAAGAAGCGAAAAAAAGAAAAGAAATCAAAGGGTGCCGCTGTCCTTCCCATTGTCGTTGCTGCTGCTGCTGCTGCTTGTGCTGTAGTAGCTGGGTGGCTGGCCGGTTGTTTCTGTCACGCTTCGCCAGCCATGTCTCTGCTGGACGAGTGGCACCGCCTCGTGGAGGAGGTTGCGAGCATCAGCAGCACCGAGCCGCTACCGAAGGACTACATACCCACCGACTTCCTGCCAGGCGGCCGCGAAGTGCCGGAGGCGTTGCTGCAACTCGTCCGCGCAGGTGCCGCCGCCTTCGACGCGGAGTCGCGCACGCTGTTCCGTCCACAAATGACTCCGGAGGAGGGCTGCCACGCAGCGCCGGTCGTCACACGGCACGGTGCCGCTTCGCCGTCCTCCTTCGCCGCGCCGCAGGCTGGGAAGGAGGGGGTGGAGGACACTAACAACACCAACGGCGATGCCAACGGCGATAAACCGCAAACGTCGATGCACGAGGGGCCCAACTTCTTCGAGGCATACAACGCCCACGCGACGGCGACGAAGCGAAATGGTGATAAAGTTTCGCTAGCGGGCATCAACCTCGCCACCGCTGCTGCTAGCAGTGTGCCACGCTCTCTCGGCACAGCCTCCCGTCTCGCATCGGGTTTCCTGCTGCCCGAGTACTACGCCCAGAAGCACCGCCAGCCCGACTTCATCCCCATTATCCTCGTTCCTGCCTCCGTCTCATCGCTGTTGCAGCTCTTCAACATACGCGAGTTCCTCGAGAGGGGCGTCTACGTTGACCCACCGTCGCTTTTCGTGGATGCTAAAACAGGGGCGGTGAATGTGCAGGAGAGCAAGCCCGACGCCGTGATCGTCACCCCAGGCAGCTTCCTCGATGCGGAGAAGTACACCGTAGCATACAAAGTCTTCCGTGTCGTGGATGATCCGAAGCAGGTGAAGAACTGGCAGCACGTGTGTGCGTGCATTGTGGATGGTAACGAGTGGCAATTCCGCGGCTGGTACCCCAATGAGGCGACACCGGTGCCAGTGAGCGAGCTGTTCCAGCGTGTGTGCGGCTTCCTGCCGTACCTTGAGGAGGACAAGCTGCCCAGCGCGCTGCAGCAGTGGCACGTGAAGCCGCTACCGCTCACGCGCCGCGTTGTGAAGGCCCACGCGCACATTCTGCAGGCGTCCGTCTTCTGGGAGCATCTGTACACGTTCCTGGAGACACACCCATTTTTCAAGTTGTACACGGTCCCGCTCGATTAACAGAAGGTGCTACTACTACTACTACTACTGCTGCTTCTGCGGTGCTTGCTGTTGTAGCACATAAATGAACGAGATACGCAGAGAGTAGGCCTCGTGTCAGTCGGTGGGGTGTAATAAAGGGGAGGAGGGAGGAAGGACGGAAGAAAACCAAAAAAAAAAAAGGAAAGCATGGCGTCTCTAGCCAACGTGATGAAGGAGTAGTGTTAGCCGTGGCCAGAGGCCCGTAGGACTGCTCCTATTTTTGTTGCACACCACCCCCGCTTTGTTATTTATTCCTCTCGTGTGTAATATTTGTTTGTTCTCCCGTTTGCTTGCTTGCTTGTGTGCGTGTGTGTGCGTCTTAGGTCTGCATAAAACACTAACGCGAAGTACGAACGCGGCACCGGTACGAGCCAGCGCATTCACCTTCCTCCGGGTCTTGAGCGCACACGGGTGATTACACACACGCACATACATATATATATATTCATATACGTACAGAGACATCCTTACAGAAGCAGCAGCGAGGGCAACAGCATGCTTCGTCGTGTAGCTCGGCACACCTCATTCATCGCGGGCTGCCAGTCGCGGCACACCACGATCCTGGCTGTGCGGAAGGGCGACACGGTTGTGCTCATGGGTGACCGCCAGGTGACGCTCGGTGAGCGCATCGTCGCGAAGTCCAGCGCGTGCAAGCTGCGCCGCATCAACGACGACGTCGTCATCGGTTTCGCGGGCAGCACTGCTGACGCCATCGCGTTGATGGAGAAGCTGGAGAACAAGATTGGCGAGTTCCCCGGCCAACTCACCCGCGCCGCGGTGGAGCTGGCTAAGGACTGGCGCACCGACCGCGCGCTGCGCCGGCTGGAGGCGTCGCTGATCGTCTGCGGCCGCGAGGAGACGCTCGAGATCGACGGGCAGGGCAACGTCATCACGCCGGAGGAGGACGGCATCGTGGCCATCGGCTCCGGCGGCACATACGCGAAGGCGGCGGCCCGCGCGCTCATCGACGTGGATGGCTACGACGCGGAGAAGATCGCGCGCAAGGCGATGCGCATCGCAACGGAGATCGACGTCTTCAGCAACGAGAACTGGGACGTGGAGACGCTCACGAAGAAGCCGGCAGCTGCGCCGGCGGGNNAGGACAAATGGGGACACAGAAAAGAAGAAAAAAAAGAGTGGGGAGTGATAGAGAGAGAAAGAGAGAGAGAGAGAGAGAGAGCGCGAGATGAAAGGAAGCGACATGTGCGGAGAAAAAGGAAAGCAGTGGTGGTGATGACGATGATGATGATGATGATGATGGTGCTGGAGTGGTGCGGATGGGAGTGCATAGGGCGCTGGATGGAGGTCACAGCCTGCTGTTGCGAATGGCATGCGGCTCCATGCCGTTCTGTTCGTTCATGGCAGAATTCTCATCTGCGGCGCTTTTTTTTTGCCTTTCTTCCTTCGAGGTCGTCGTTTTTGTTGTTGTTGTCGTCGTCGTCGTTTTCCTTGTTTTTTTTTTTTTTTTCTTTTCAAAGAAAAAAAAAAGAATTGTTCTTT